CCACTTGGCGTAAAATCAAACCAATGTTCATTTAATTCATCAGCTTCTTGCATTTTGGCTGTACATCTGTCAGTTTTTCCTTTTCCAAGTATTAGTAAAGGAAGTTTTTTCCCTTCTGAATCTATTGTTGCCAGTACTGTGATGGCAGCCTTTTCGTCGTCCTGTACAATAACTTTTACATGTTCTTGATTCTTCTCGCACCACGTGAAATTNNTTTTGTTTACGATTTTCCAAGATGTTTCATCAACATTAAAAATGTGATCTCTCCTATTTTCTTGNAAAATTTTATGAACTCGATTTATGAAATCTATTTTCTGCTCTTTGGTAACTGTTCCTCGACGTTTAACGTGAGGTTTTTTCAGTTTTATAGAATTCCTTTGTTTAAAATCATTTATAAAAGTTGCTGAACATGCAAATTGTCTATCATTTTCATTGTGATTCAAAACATTGTAGTAAAAATTTGTAGAATAAAATCTAAAGTCAGCATCAGAGAAATAAATATTTTGGTCTAAAAATTCTTTTTTGATGTTTTCAATAAGCATTGCCTCTTCTTCATCAGAAAATATACGTCTGTGATGTTCTTCAACAAGCTTGTATGGTCGATAATCTTTGTTTTTTTTTTTTTGATTTGATTTTTCCAATGGATAATGGTAGTATATTTTATACCAGTTACGTTTGCAATATGTTTATATTCACCATGATTGCGGAAATTGAAAGCTAAAAGACGGAACAAAGGTTCAAGATTGGCTAGCTTTTCTTTGGTCCTCATATATGGTCTTTTAATTCGATATTGACGGAGAACTAAGTCTGATAGATACTCGAGTTTTCGTTCATTGCCTCTCAAGGGAAGGCGTTGTTGCATTGATAAGCTAATATCTGTCTGGCCATGGTTCAGAAAAAATTGAAAAGAATTATATATTTATATAAATATATATATATATATAATTTGACATGTCAAATTACAATTTTAAACGAGGTGTGGGTAATTGTGAGAACATGAAATTTTTTGAGTGAATAGAAAAAGTTTGAATAACATAGATTCAAAATGGATAGAAAAAGTTATAGTGATAATTAGCTCAGAATTATGTTTGTATAAATATCTTGGAAAAAAATTAGAATTTAGAGATTATTATATGTATTTATATTTTCATCTATCTTTATAATATTTTGTAAAAATATGAAGACTAGAAAATATTTTTATCAGTCAAGTAAACCCAAATTCAAGTGTGAGTTTTTTTTGCAATTTGAGAGTAATAGATAATTCTAATACTAAATGGTCATAATGTATTTTGAATCTGCTATATAACATCAGAAATATCTTTTGCTTCTCAATCGACCTATTATTTCTCTCCCAAAGTGATGTGACAAGAGAAAAAAGGAATCCTGATAATTTTAATCGAATCAGCATATGTATCAGTGATAAATTTTTCTGCAATTGATAAGAGAAAGACAAACTCTTAAAACTCATCATTAACACTTTTTTTGACGACTGATAAGAAACTGAATTGCTTCAAGCATTTGTGAAAACATAGTTAATAAGATAATTAAAACGTATATGTTATAAAATATTTATTAAATAATCCAATCACTATAAAAAAATAAATAATAATAATAATAAAAAAGAATCTTAAAACCTGTTATCCTCTTCTTCTTCGAATGGGTTTTCTTCATCATCGTCATCGTCTTCATCTTCTTCCCATTCTTCGTAATTCTCGTTTGCATTCCGATCTTCATCATCTTCGTCATCTTCCGATTCGAATCCTTCTTCAGCTTGATCATCTTCCTTACATGAAGGAAGATCAAGTGCTTGATTAAGAGAAAGAGCCATATCATAATGTTCTTGGAAAGCTCTTCCTTCATCAATTTCTTCTTCTTCACCATTTTTGACATCTTCTTCAAACTTGTCTTCTTCTTCAAAAACACCGTTTAAATTATTTTGCTGGTGATTTCCACCTTTCCTTGCCCAGTTTGGAAGTTGATTATTAGATACAAAGCTGGAAATAAGCTCTTCGTGCTCTTCTTGATCTAAAGCTTTTAGATTTTTATTCAATTCTAATTCTTCTTCTTCTTCGAGTCTCTTCCTTCTTTGTTCTTCAAGTTGATCAATTTCTTTCTGTTTCAATCTGTCTCTTCTTTGTTTAGCTTCATCTGCTCTTTTCTTTAAGTTTTCTTCATTCTTTCTTCTTTCTTCTTCATCTCGTTTCCTTCGCATTTCTTCAGCACGTTTCTTGTCTGCTTCTTCTTGTGCTTTCTTTTCGAGTTCAGCCTTCTTTCTTCTTTCTTCTTCGAGTCTCTTTCTTTCTGCTTCTTCACGTTCTTTTTGTTTTTGTTTCATTTCTGCTTCTCTTCTTGCTTGTTCTTGTTTTTGCTTCTCTCTTTCTGCAGCAATTCTCTTAAATTCGGCGATTTGACGTGCTCTTTTTGCTCTTTTTTCAGCTTCTTCACGAGTTGCTGCGGCGAGCGCTTCTTCATGTTGTTTTTTAATTCTTTCAGCTTCTTCAGCAAGCTTTTTAGCTTCTCTTTCTTGTGCGTAGCGACGAAGTTCTTCAATTTCTTTCTTTCTGTCGCGTTTTGGTGCTTGTTTTTGGGCTTGAGAAGGTGCTCCAGCACGTCTTGATGATGGCGGTGCTTTATTAGCAGCACGTGAAGATGGTGGATTATGATGATTTCCACGTGCTGATGGTGGTTTTTGCTGAGCAACTGGAACTTTATTATTACTATTGTTAACATTAGTGGGTTTAGATGGTTGTGCAATATTAACTTTTGGAATATGTTGTGGTTGTGCAGGATTTTTATTATTTGATTTCTGTGCAGGTTGTGCAGAAGCTTTATTTTGCTGCTGTTGTTGAGGAGGAGGAGTAACTTTTTGTGGTGGTGCAACAGCTTGATTCTGTTGTTGTTGTTGTGCTGGTTTTTGTGCTTGTTGTACAGGTTTTTGTTGTGGTTGAGAAGGTGGCTGAGGTTGTGATTTTTGTTGTTGTGGTGGTGGTTGTGAAGGAGCTGGAGCTTTTTGTGGTTGTTGTGGTTGTGATTTTTGTTGCTGTTGCTGGGTAGGCTGTGGTGCCGGCTTATTTTGTGCTGGTGTTGGTTTCTGTTGTTGTTGTGCTGGTTTATTTTGAGCTGGTGCTGCAGGCTTTTGTTGTTGTTGTGATGGTGCTGCAGGCTGTTGAGCGGCTGATGGTTGAACAGGCTTTACTTGATTTTGTTGTGGCTGAGATTTTTGTTGTTGTTGTTGAGCAGGTTGAACAGCTTTTGGTGGTTGTGGCGCTGGTTTGGCTGGTTGAGCAGGCTTTTGTTGATTCTGTTGAGGTGGAGCAGCTCTTGGTTGGGCATTTTGTGGAGTTAATGGTTTCTTTTGGGCTGCTGGTGCTGGTTGGGGAGCTGCTGGCTTCTGTTGAATTTGTGGTGTATGAGGCTTCTGATTATTATTATTATTCGAAGGCTTGGCAGCTGGGGCAGGTTGTGGTGATGGTTTCTTTTGTTGGAGTTGTGATGGTTTAGGAGGTAGTTTTTGATTAGCCAGTTGTGCAGGTGGTTTTTGTTGCTGTTGTTGTTGAGGTGCTGGTTTAACATTATTATTTGAAGGTCGAGCGTTATTGTTGCTGGCCTGATTGTTGGCATTCGTTTGAGGCTGTGATGGTTGAGAAGGTGCTGGTGGATGATTTGGATTCTTGAATATATTTGCACCATGTAAAATTGTATGATTCATTTCATATTGGAGCATCTGATGATCCAAAAAATTACTCAAATTTGCTTTAATGAATGGAAGACCCAAAATTTGATTAATTGATGGTCTCATGTTTGGATCCTTGTTGAGCATCTTGCCGAGGAGTCCTTGAATGTCCGCAGAGTACTTTGAGGGAATTGGTGTATATTTAGCCTGAATAATTCTTTTCATAAGTGACTTAATATCTTTTGCATCAAATGGATGGTTAAACGTGCACATTTCATAAAGCATACAACCAAGTGACCAAATATCTGTTTTTGAATTATACTTCTTATTATCGCAGATTTCAGGTGATAAATAATAAGGAGTACCAATTTGAGACATTGCCAATTGCATCGTATTTTGCAAAACTTTAGCAATACCAAAATCGCCGAGTTTTACTGATCCATTTTTCATAAGAAACACATTCTGTGCCTTTAAATCACGATGCAAAACTTTTCTATCATGAAGATATTTTAGAGCGAGTGCAACTTGGATGAAGTCGTGGAGAATGTCTTCTTCTGAAAAATATTTTCTAGCTCTTTTCCGCCGTTCAATTTTCTGTGAAAGATCGCCTCCGTCCGCATATTCCATAACGATATAAAGAGTGCCTTTTTCTTCAAAACTTTCAGTGAAAGCAACAATAAAGGGACTCTTAAGAACAGACAAAAGCGTCGCCTCACGAAGCGCATCACGTTTGTCTTTTGGCGAGAGATTTGATATTTTTACTGATTTCATTACATAAAGTCGTTTATCTTCTTTACTGCGAACAAGAAGGGCTTTGCCGTAGCCTCCTTCGCCGAGTTTCTTCACGATCGAATATTTCGCGGAGCGAAGGTTTGCCTTCATCGACCAGATATGTATTCAATGAATAAACGTTTTCTTTTAAAAGTTTTATTTGTCTAAAGGTTATCGAGTTAAACTTGAAATAAAATGATGAAAAAAAAATATGAAAGATATCTTCCTATTTCAAAGTGAATCTATATATATTGTGTAATTTAGATATTATAATATTGTTTGTCAATATGAATATTTTAGAAATATATTGTGATCTCCTCTATATAAATGAATATTAGAATTTTTATTGTCCATCTTATTGGGAAATTTGTGATCAAGACGTTTAAATAAAATGTTGTGAGAAATCATTCGAAACTAAAAAAGCGTAAAAAGGGATTTATGAGAAGATTTGATAAGAATTTGAGAAAATAAAAGATGGCAAAGCAAAAGCAATTAAAAAAGATAAGACGAATAGAAGATAAATCCACCAAAAGTAAAAAGCTATTTGAGGAAAAAATAGTCCCGACGGGTATCGAACCCGCGACCCTGGCCTCATAAGGACCATGCTCTAACCACTGAGCTACGAGACTATCCGAATTTTCGAGCGGGAAAGGTAGTTTGATCATTCAATTCTTGATATAACAGTGATGATATTAAAAGATATCAATTAAAAAAAATATTTCTATTCATTAGATTTAAAATATGTTTTTTATCATTTAATGTTATATCATTACACACAGATAAATTGGAAACATATAATTCAATGTGTTCAAATTTCTTCTGCTTCTTCAGACATTCGAACGATTTCCATAAATACTCGTTCTAGTGATGAAGAAGAGCAAGTAAAATATGTGTAACCATTATCTCCTTCTTTTCCTTCTTCCATTATCACAAATAAATCTGCTAGGTCAATTGCACTTGCGGGAATATCAAATATTCTAGCTTTTGGTCTTGAAATTGAGCAGACAGCCTTTGGGAGCATCTTTTTAAAGAAATCATTACATTTTTCTTCAGTTTTTTCACTTTCATCTTTTAACATTACATCAATTTTATAATCTGTTCCGAATTTTTCAGTTAATAGCTGTGGAGATCCACATGTAAATACGCACCCTTTAACCATAATCGATATCATATCGCATAAAAATTCAGCCTCACTTAAAAGATGAGTACAAAGCATGAAAGTTTTATCACCACGATTTTCTAAGATCATTTCTTGTACATTATGTCTAGCTACTGGGTCCAATGAAGCTGTTGGTTCATCTAATAAGATAATCTTTGCTGGTGAATAAAAACTTAAAGCAATTGCTAATTTTCGAACATCACCTTGTGATAGTTCATTTAATGGTTTGTCTTTAATTTCCAATAATTCAAGTGACTTTATTAAAACCTCACTTTTTTCAGCTATCTGGTTTGTGTCATATTTTAGTAGCATTCCATACAGTTTGAAATGTTCTTCAATAGTCATTTCATTGATTAAATGTTTGTTGAATTGAGGACAAACCGAAATGATATTTGGTTCTGTGATTTCAGTGATATTTTTACCGAATACTTCTATTACTCCTGATGATGGTGGAAGCATTGATGTAATCATTCTTATCAAAGTTGTTTTCCCTGCTCCATTGGCACCAAGAAATCCAAACAAAGAACCTGTTTTCACTCCTAAACTTACACAATTTACTGCTGGAATTGGTTTCCCTTCAGTATTAAAGAATAATCGACTTGCATTTTCAATTCTAACTGCATAATCATGCGAATTTTTTACCTCCTCTTCCATTTGAAGTGCTTCTGGAGTAATATCATTTTTAGCTTTTATCTCTCTAAAAATTTCATCATAGTTATTGAATGATCGTTTTGCACTCGAATTTTGGACTCCTTTTCGAAAATGTTCAATAATCGTTAATACAGAAGAGTATAATAGAATATTTATGATTTCCATTATTAGAAAAGGCTGTGTGTTTTTTGATTCTGTCCAATAATAACTAAAGTTTTGTTTTAAAGGTCCTAGATTTTGTAGAATGAGTGAATATAATCTTTGAATGGCAAGATGTGGAATGAGTGAGAATATCCATTCAAGCCAGATTGGATTTGTGTCATTTCTAATCATCTCAATGATAAACGGGACCAACATTGATAAAGTGAATATTAGGAAAACTTGTCTATTAGCAGAACTTGGAGATTCAAAAACAAAACTAACACAATAAATAAAAATAATAAACGAAGGCCCAGCAGCAACAACTAAGTACCATGACATGAACATATTATCGTGAAATGACTTAATTTGGGCTGCTAAGTAGATGCACCACATTAATGTTGTCAAAGCAACCCAAATGATAATATCAATAGAAAATGTTGCTAGCCAATATGGAAATATTGTTAAAGAATTCGATTCCATGTATGATCTGACTTCTCCGGTCAAATCAGTAATGGGTTGTGTAATAATCATTGGAACAATAGACAGTAAACCACATCCAATAAGAATAGGGCCTGCTAATGCAGTCAGAAACTCAAGTCTTCTACTATTTAGGGTTATAAAAGATACATTAATTTCGGCACTAAGATCATCATAAATATACTTTTGCAAAGCTTTGGTCGTAAGAACCTCAACTTGAAGTTCATCAGATATTTTATCCCAGGCCGAAATATTAAAAAATGATTTAATAAAATAGCCTGGAATACTTTCATTATTGACATTATTGTAAATGATTGAATAGCCAACTCCAAATGGTATTGATTCAGGTTCAGCATAAGACCTTTGGTGATTTATGACCCATTCTTTTAAAGAATCGGCAGAATCAAATGTTTGCGATCTAATTTCCCTGCCAGTTTCATTTTTATACATATCTATAAGATAATTTTGGATGAGTGACGAATCAGGAAAATCTTTGGAGTAATCTATAAAAAGAAGGTCTTGAGTGTTTGAAGGAAAATCGTTGAAAGATATTGTTTCTGCTTTTGGTGATAGAAAAATCACAAAGAAATAATTTAATAAAATCGCGAGAGCAGAAGCAACTAAAGTACCTACGAGAGAAGTAACAGTGCTTTTCCATGATCTTTTCATTGTGATCCATTTTCGAAATAGAATTGCTTTATAATGATATTGAAACATGTGGGATAATATGATAAAAATCGCCAGATTCCAAACCCTTTTATCAAATATTTGTGAAGTTTTTCTGGATTTATTCGGAATATTTTAGGATAGAATTCAAAATACGAAATATTATCGGATATGTTTAATTTCTGGAGATAACTATATTGAAATATGGAATGACAACCATTATTTTACATAGAAAATGACTTCATTGTCAAGTGTAGAAGAGTGTTTTGAATCAATAACCATATGCAATTCAATTTATCCATATTTCTCTACAACTATTCAAAATTAATTAAAGAAAAATATAGTTATTCGCCCTTCGAGTTTGCAATTCGAGATATCTTTTTCCAAGTTGTTGTCAGATAAAGTCATTGTTCATCAAGCAAAGGGTGATAATTATTGGTATACTGTGATATAACTGGCCCATTTAGTATGTTTGTATGATTGGCAAGAAGAGTCTGATTCTTTTTTTTCACCCTCATGTTGTATTGATTATATCAGAAGGAAAAAAAAATCTATTTAATTATATAAATAATTCTTACATAACACATAAAAACACCAAATTATTAATTCCAGCATTACCTTTTATGAAATAATATTTGCGGAGTTGTGTAACAATAATGATCTTTTCATGAACTTTAAACTTTTTCTTTCATTAACCAACAAAATGAGAATCTTTTCAAGGCCGATGAAGAAACATGAACCATCATTCATTATGAGAAAAAAAATCCTAAATAGAATAATTTGAATTAGATTTGATTTATTCCACCTCAATTTCGAATAAATTGTTCACACATTCTCATGATAAAATGAAGAAATAACTGAAAAAGACTCCTTTTACAATCCAATGAACAAATGAAATAAATGACTATTTAGATGACTTTACATGTTTTCTCTTGGATGGCATTTCCAAGAATCAATTGATTTCGTCCAAATTGGTTAGTTAGTAGATTATTTCTATTTCAGAAAGCCATTGAAAAAAAGAATAAAATGTGTGAAAAAAACAATACATGGTTTACTTTGATCTAAAACGAATATTCACAGAAAGCTAAGATTAACCGAATTCGACACTCTAATCTTGGGTTTATTTTTGATTTCAATATTCTTTGTCATTCTCGAAGTCAGAACAGAAGTTGACACTATCGAAGAAATAATTTTCTTTGGTTTGAGTGACTTTTGGGCTGAGATGAATTTCACTTGAGATCCTTTATTCATGATATCAATTAATTCATCAATGGTGGGACGATCTTCCGGCTTCTTTTGTAAGCAAGCAGCTATTATCTGTTTGGATTCTTTGTCCACATAGAAGGGAATCTGATAATCTGCATTAATAATTCGATGTGCAATTTCTACATCACTTCCCTCCAGCTGAAATGGAAAAGAAGAAGTCGTCAAAATATACAAAATGATTCCGAGTGTCCAGATATCAGCTTTTTTATAGTCGAAAGTATCATTTAAGATAGCTTCTGGTGCGACGTAATTTAAAGTTGCTCCGAACACATCATGTGGTGGTTTTTTAGTGAAGGCACTTCCGAAATCTGCTATTTTACACACATCATCCTTGTCAAGCAGGATATTCTCCGGCTTCAGATCATGATGACTAATCCCTTTAGAATGCAAATATTTAATTGCATGACATATTTGTTGAAAAATGTGACGAATTTCACATTGCAGTAATGATCCACGAATCATTAATGCCGTGAGAAGATCCGTGTCAGAAAGTTCCATAATTATATAAATATACGTTTTTTCATACACGATTTCATGCAATTTGATAATATTGGGATGATTGGTAGTTTCCAGAATTCGGAGTTCTTGTTCCAGTTGAAATATGGAGCTGTATTTAATCATTTGTTCACGTGAGACAACTTTCATGGCATAGTATTCATTTGTTTTCATGTTGAGGACCTTGAATACAACGGAGAAACTTCCTGATGATATTTTCGAAATGACCTTGTAGCACTTAACAGTTGATGGAATGATGTATTCATACCCAGAGTCATTCTTCTCGGAGAACATTTAAAATTTTGATGATTATCCAATCGATTTTGTGTAAATTCAAAAATTTTGTCTTTGTTTGAGAGGAATTTAACGAAACATTCAATATATAAAACATTTGAATAAATTATTTAATATATAAATTTGTGATGCCATACAAATACTTCGGGATTCTGTTTGAAAATTTTTTAAAATTTTGTAAAAAAGTGTTGTCAATATTTGGGTGGATCATAGAAATATTTTACAGAATAAAAGCTTGCTTTCAAAAGTGCAAATATAAATAATGGAATTATTTTACAGAATAGAAATGCGCGTTTGACATTTGAGAGAATGTTCTCAAATTGTTCAATAATATATTCGATTTCTATTCAAATGACATATAATTTTGCGAAAACGGCTTTCAATTTTCTTGAAATTACTTCAAAGCAAAATTTTATCACCGCAAAGTGCTAAGATTTTATTTGAAGCTGAGATAAAGATGAGGAAACGACAACAAAATAA